TTCCAGAGATAACTGAGTTGGCTTAACCTTGTCGATCCAAAATATCGATTATCAAATAAAGAACCTATATTTCCCATTGTTTATAAAATTGTAGAAGATAATCGCTAGTTGGCTTATCCTTATCGATCCTTAATTATTTTAGCAAGTCAATTGCATATGTGCAATCAGTTGCTTCTGCCATGCATGGTTTTCTTATAGTTGGTTATTTATTAACATTGTGAATGATGATTAATTCTCTGCTTGGATTTTTAAGTTATGTGTATGCTTGCTCGTTACACACATGCATAGGCACACATTTATAAGTGTAATACATATATATTTATATAAAATATGTAGTTATTTTTCTAATATTTGTTGAAGTTAGTACCTTTTGTTAGTGGTAACTAATTTATGTCTTCTATTTAATCCCGTATTCTCTTCCATGGTTTTTCATCCTTTAGTAATATTTCTTTTATTTTTACTTTAATTTTGCAATAGGATATCTATCTCATTACTAGTGGTTTTTCAGGACAGCTGAATGAAATAGAGAAGGAAAGTGATAGTAGTAGCATTGATATGGAGGATGAAGGTGAGAATAGTCATGGCGATAGTGATAATGATGGTGGTATTGCGCCAGATGACTCGAACATGTCAGATATAGAAAGGATGCCAATGGCAGTTGATTTTGATAAGGAAGTAGATATTGCAAGAAAAGTGCTGAATAACTTGGTCACATCCTCTTCTAAAGATTCTCTTTCTCTCCAGGATGATGCTGTTCTTCCCAAGAGGGACGACATGTTGACGGAAGATGAAACCATTAACATGCAAAATAAGTTACCCACTGAATCTGCAATAGAATCAAATGTGACTAAACCTGAAGAGTCCAGCAAACATAAACAAACAGATGGAGAAGATGAATTGCAGAGAACGATTTTCATAAACAATCTTCCATTTGATATTGACAATAAAGAAGTGAGAGAAAGGTTTTCGGGATTTGGGCAAGTGCAATCCTTTGTTCCAGTCCTCCATCCAGTTACCAAGTATGACTCATTTGAATTGTTTTTCTTTTCTTTTCCCCTTGAATTAATAAACATGAATGGTTTTTTTGCTCCCATCGGCAGGTGACCGAGAGGTACTGGTTTTCTCAAGTTCAAAACAACAGATGCAGCTCTTGCAGCAGTTTCTGCAGCAAATGCTGCATCTGGTTTGGGTATTTTTCTCAAAGGTAGACAACTCAAAGTGTTGAAGGCATTGGATCGGAAGTCAGCACATGACAAGGAAATGGATAAGGCCGAAGCTGAGGAGCATGGCCAACGTAATCTTTACCTGGCAAAGATTGCTCGACTTTACAATCAACTAAATTTCTATTTATTTAATGAGTTCATAAGTATAGTTTTGAGACTTGTTTTTATGATTTAATAGGAAGGTCTTATAGTTGAAGGGACTCCAGCTGCTAAAGATGTTTCAGCTAGCGATATGGAAAAGCGCAAAATGTAAGTATTTTCTTATTGGTTTCCACTGGTTGTTCATGTCATATGCTGAGCTAAAATTTCTTCTGTCTCTGTTGTTGCACATTGCAAATGAGTCCTATTATGTTGATTGCTTAGTAGTTAAGAGGTTTTTGGTTTGGCCAGGAATAGTTTAAAAGAATAATCAAAACAGAATGAGTAGATAAGAAATAAAACCTGTTAGATGTTGTTTACTATAGTATTCTTCTAAAGCTTTTCGGATGCCTTGCAGGTTGCATGAGAAAAAGATGACCAAGCTTCAGTCTCCAAATTTTCATGTTTCAAAAACAAGACTTGTTATATATAATTTGCCGAAATCCATGACCGAGAAATAATTGAAACAGCTTTGTATCGATGCAGTTACCTCAAGAGCTACAAAGCAAAAGCCTGTAATACAACAGGTTAGTTAAAGTTGCTTATAAAATGTTTATTTCTTTTAATTCTTTGTGATAATTTTCTGCATATTTAGAGTACTCTTGCAACTCGAACATTACTCATGCAGATTAAGTTCTTGAAAACTGTGAAAAGCGGAAAGGTTGTTATTAAAAATCAGTTGCGTGGGGTTCCCTTTGTTCAGTTTTCCGAGCATCAGCATGCACTTGTTGCCCTGAGAGTTCTTAATAATAACCCTGGTAATGCCCCTCATTGCTACATCTCATGTGCTTGATTGGCTATATTTTCAACACAAGATTTGTCCTGTTTTTGCTTTTAGCTTACATGCGTTCTGCATTCATGGGTGGTTTGTCCATAACATCGAAGGGGAAAAAGTTTACTCGAGGGCATTGTTTCTTTTCTGTTCTAATCTTTAATTGTCATTGATTGTTCGTAGAAACATTTGGCCCTGAGCATCGTCCCATAGTGGAGTTTGCTGTAGATAATGTGCAGACATTGAAACTAAGAAAAGCTAAGTTACAGGCACTGCAGCAGGATGCTACCGATGATTTGAATAATGCAAACCAAAATGCCGAGTCACGTCCTTTGGATGATCTCCCTAACAAATCCAGAAAACGGAAATCTATAGATGGCGGAAGGGCAACAAAACATTCCAAGTTTAAAAAGCCTGAGATGGAAAACACAGTTGGCACCGGTGAAGGCCAAGCTAATAAGAAGTCGAAGCGAAATCCAGCAGGTGAAAAGACAAAACCATCTCATTCGGAAGAAAGATTGGAAGGCTCCAACAAGAAGGACCACATTGTAAATCCGAGGATCGCAAGAGTGGCCAGAAACCCACCGTTCGAAGTTCAGATAAGGTTGAAACAAACGTTACAGATACCTGCAAATCAAAGTTCAAGGAGGTGGCAGCTGTTTTCAAGCCAAAAGAGAAGACGCGACAAGAGCAGGCAAAGGGGCGGGATGCAGAGACAATTTCAAAAAGAAAAAGAACAAAAAAGAATAAAGATCCAGCAGGGCGGGATGTGGTAGACAAACTCAATTTGCTAATCGAACAATATCGATCAAAATTCTCACAGCCAAAATCTGAAGCACCTGATGTTGAAAAGCAAAGTTCTAAAAAGCTTCGAAGGTGGTTTCAAGCTTAATATCATTTTAGCTGGTTTTAGCCAGGTAAGTAGCATATCCTAACCGATCAATCTTTAGAAAAAAACAAGAACATTTGTCGATGCTGTTGCAACTGCTACAAGTTTCATACATACAGTTGTTATCAATGACATTTTCACGAGTTCACTGACTTTCAGCTAATATATCTCCCTACGTTTGTTGCAGACATTGCTTAAGGATGGATAAAGAATGTCGAATCATATCAGCCATCGAAACATTCACCGTCAAGTTCCACACAACAGACGAGGGTACCCTTTCCAACTCACAATTCTAGGAACCTCTCCTTTGACAGTTTTTAATCTTCAAAGAGCATGGCATGCAGGAGAAGATAATGAAACAAAACAACTTGATGTCATTTTCTTAGTTTTCTATTATTTGCTATACAGTCCAGAGCTTGCATGTTAGTGCAGTGGGTATGGACTAAGAGAGAAAAAAAGGTACACTAAAGTCAATAGTGCAATCACAAATTTTAGATGGTGGTGGTTGAGACATGAGATGCATCATGGATCCATGTTAATCGATCATTGAAATATCGAGTCGGATATTTATTCTTTTCTTTATCCTTGTAATAGCTGAAAATTCTCTACTTGTAACTCACTCAAGATGGAAAATTAATTATAGACCCTCTTTTGGCTTTCATTTTTTTTTACAAATAAGAGGATGATTCTATCAAAGTCGTCAATATTTATAGACAGGGATGTGCATATGATCCGAACTTGATGGGGTTTGGTCCGATTTGATCTTATAAGGTTTATTTTCATTAAATATTTAGGGGTTGAGTTCGAGTTTATGATGGAAATATCAATAATTATTGTTTAAACAATCAACGGTACATATTTCAAATGTGTGTGAGAGTTCAGTATCTCTTAAGTTCAAAATTTAAGTCCTGTAAATGAAAAATAAATGAAAAGATGGTTTTGGTATTCGTTTAAAAGTTTGATTGGATTCATCATAGGATTTAATTAGAACACATGTGACCACCGAATAAGACACCTGTCTCTAATCCTTGATAAAACGAAAACCATATTCCATAAATACATATATAAAGGTGCAACATTGGCATTCACATGGGGATGAACTCAAGTGGGTCACCCATTGCTCCAAAAAGCCAACTCAAATCAGCACTAAAGTTCCCCCCCCATTATTTCTCTTCATTACTCCTTTTCTGTGTAACATGTTTGACTTTGATTAATTAGAGATAATATTAAGAAAAAAAGTTTCAATCATAAAATAAATGATTCGTTTATTAATTCCATTCTTTGCTTCGTATTTAAGGTGATGCATGCTAATTTGTTATTGTATTAATCTTTAAAGTTTAATCCTTTGGTTCTTTTGTTTTGATAATTGAATTCGATTGATATTATCGCAAATAACATTCGTTAAATTGGATTAAATATCTCAATTTTTTTTTCAAAAGTTCGAATTTTTATAACATTTTTAAGAGAAAAAAATAGCACTGATATAAAGTGAAATCACGAAACAAAAACCTCATGCTTTACATCAATGGTGAAATACCACAACTAACAAATTGAAAATCCACATCTTATACGTGTTATAATCAAATCCCAAAACTGAAAAAAAAACGCTTTTTTTCTGTTACAAAAATGGTGTGCTAAAGTTAGAAGTTGGAACATGGGCTCCTCATGAATATGATTATATATATATTTGTTTTCATCATATACTTTTAAGTAGTTAAAGAAATTATTATGTGGAAAAGCAAAGACAGATTAAAAATGGGAAAGAACCAAAAGAATCCTCAACCCGAAATCTTGTTTCAATTATTTGTTTTCATTTTGTTTATCTTTCCGGGAAGCATGATGAAAGACAAAATGGGTTTTGTTGTGTAGTAGTAGTAGTAATAGTAATGACAGCACACATTACTATATAACAAAAATTGTTTTCCCTCCTTTTTGTCACACTTCATCTCATTGTCTATCTCTTTCCAGCTTGAAACAAATGGAAGCTAACTCAGCTTCTTCTTCTTCACACTACTGGTTTTCTCTATGCATTTCAATGGTGTTTCTGAGTCTTAATTTGACTCAGTGCAATGTTACTTACGATAGGAAGGCTCTTCTCATTGATGGGAAGAGTAGAATTCTCTTTTCTGGTTCCATACATTATCCTAGAAGCACCCCTGAGGTAGTGTACATTAATTTTCTCGGAAAAATTCATCTCCTTCCCCAGAAATTTTCTCGGGAAAATATTGATTGTGTGAATGGAATGCAGATGTGGGAAAGTCTTATACTCAAAGCTAAAGATGGTGGCTTGGATGTTATTGATACTTATGTCTTTTGGAACCTCCATGAACCTTCTCCTGGCAATGTATATAGCTTGCTCCTCTTAAAGTTCTTTCTTTTTAATAAATAAATTCTTGCCTTTTTTCTTCTTACTATTTTCTTATGAATTTCCATTTCTGTTTTCTGGGTGTTAGTATAATTTTGAAGGGAGATATGATTTGGTTCAGTTCATCAAATTGGTCAAAAAAGCTGGTCTTTATGTTCATCTTCGCATTGGGCCTTATGTTTGTGGAGAATGGAACTTTGGGTAATGAAAATGATCACTCTTTGTTTGTGGATGTGTTTATTTACTATATCTCATTGATGATTCTTCTTTTCTTTTTTCTCCCAGAGGATTTCCTGTTTGGTTGAAATATTTTCCCGGAATTAGCTTCAGAACAGATAATGAGCCTTTCAAGGTGTAAAAGTAATGCAAATTATTTTATTTTCATTTGCTTTTCTTTTACAAGTTTTTTTTTTCATTTTCAGCAAGAAATGCAAAAATTCACCCAGAAAATTGTCCAAATGATGAAGGATGAAAGCTTGTTTCAGTCTCAAGGTGGCCCTATCATCCTCTCTCAGGTTTGGCCTTAGCCTATATGTATGTATGTATGTATGCATGTAGCAACATGTTGCTGCTTGTTTGCAGATTGAAAATGAATATGAACCTGAAAGCAAGTCATTTGGACCAGCTGGTCAAGCTTATGTAAAATGGGCAGCAAAAATGGCAGTCGGGCTGAACACTGGGGTTCCGTGGGTTATGTGCAAGGAATATGATGCTCCTGATCCTGTGGTAAGCAAAATCCATGCATGTGTGTATGTATATGTGTGTGTATCTATGTATGTGTGTGTGTATGTATGTATGCATGCATGTATGTATGTATGTATCAACATTTTATGTTTGTTTGCAGATAAACACATGCAATGGTTATTATTGTGATTATTTCTCTCCAAACAAACCTTACAAGCCCACATTATGGACCGAGGCATGGACTGGCTGGTAAGTTTTCTCATCCGTCATCTATGTTGCTCGGAGTTGGGCGTAAGTGTTGGACACGTGCATGTATCTGGCACGGATACGGCTAGATTTATACGTATGTAAGCTTACGAGCTATTACCCTTTCTGTGTAAAGGTTTTCAGAATTTGGTGGCCCCAATTACCAAAGACCAGTTGAGGATTTAGCCTTTGCAGTTGCCAGATTCATTCAAAAGGGTGGCTCCTTTGTCAATTACTACATGGTCTGTTCAACTGCTTTAATCCGAGTTGCTCGGAGTTTTCACCGTGTTCGACACATATCCGAACATAGATATAAGAATATGGTTCTTTAAACATACTATATCTTTTGCAGTACCATGGAGGTACCAACTTTGGAAGAACTGCTGGGGGACCTTTAATTACCACCAGCTATGACTATGATGCTCCGATTGATGAATACGGTACGAGCTTTAATCGGAAAGTAGTACCATTCCGGCATGTACTCGAAGTTTCGAATATCAAATCTTTTTCTAAACTAATGGTGTATTGTAATTTGACAGGCTTGATTAGGCAACCGAAGTATGATCATCTGAAGGAACTCCATAAGGCTATAAAGTTGTGCGAAAAATCTCTGCTTACTTCCGATCCGAACATCGTCGCTTTAGGAAGCTATGAACAGGTTCCCGGAAATTCATTCTCGAATCCTTTGATGCTTCTTTTGATTGAATGTGATTGTTGCAACGGTAAATATCGTCAGGCACATGTTTTCTCGTCCAAGTCAGGCGGCTGTGCCGCATTTCTCTCCAACTACAATTTGAAGTCGGATGCAAGGGTGACTTTCAATAATATGCACTATGACCTTCCCCGTTGGTCCATTAGCATCCTCCCAGATTGCCGTAATGTTGTTTTCAACACTGCTGAAGTAAGTGATCGATCTGCATTCTTCGGTTTTGGTTAATGTAATGAGACGATAAAACTAGATGCCATCTCTCTTTTGCAGGTTGGAATTGAAGCATCTCGAGCACAAATGGTTCCGACGAATGTGAAGCTGGAATCCTGGGAGACATTCAATGAAGATGTACATTCGGTCGAGGACGAATCACCGATGACTGTCAGGGGTCTCTTGGAACAGTTAAACATGACTAGAGATACCAGTGATTATCTATGGTACACAACCAGGTAACTAATGAATGATTGTTCATAGTTCACATCTTGGAATCGAATCAAAGGTTTTCAATAACTGATTAGGTGATTCTTTCCAGTGTACAAATAAGTTCGTCCGAATCATTTCTTCGTAACGACACGCCCCTCACCCTCAGTGTGCAATCAGCAGGGCATGGCATTCATGTTTTCATCGATGGACAGCTTTCAGGTACATTATTCAGCTTCTCATTTCAATGCAAATGAAGTTGGTGTGTTGATCAAACTGAAAAACCTTTTCAACTGCTTTAAACTTACAGGATCGGCCTTCGGAACTCGGCAAAAGCGAAGGTTTTCTTTTACAGTAAATATCAACCTGCACACTGGAGAGAATACAATCTCGATTCTCAGTATAGCAGTCGGATTGCAGGTCGGTTCTTTGAATTCCATTCTAATGTGTCAGCACCATACTGAAGAACATCCATGTTCGATTTCCTTTTCTGCTTTCATGTTCGATTTTTCCTCTGTTGTTGTAGAATATTGGTACACATTTTGAGACATGGAACATAGGAGTCCTAGGACCAGTTGTTCTACAAGGACTAGATGAAGGAAAAAAGGACTTAACCTGGCAGAAATGGTCATACAAAGTTGGCCTTAAAGGAGAAGCCAGCAATCTAGGTTCTCCGACCTCTATCCGATCAACCGATTGGATTCGAGGATCATTGGAGGCTCTGAAACAACATCCATTAACATGGTACAAGGTACGAAAAATTTGTTACGTATTTATATGTGTGTGCGGGCATTCAATGTAGCTTAATCTAACCTTTACAATCCTTCAGGCATTTTTCAATGCTCCGGAAGGAGACGACCCCTTAGCTTTGGACATGTCTAGCATGGGAAAAGGCCAAATATGGATAAACGGACAGAGCATAGGCCGGTACTGGACTACTCCTGCTAACGGTAATTGTAGCGGATGCAGCTACGTCGGCGCGTTTCGTCAAACCAAATGCCATTTCGGTTGTGGCAGTCCAACTCAACAATGGTAAGTACCTACAAGCAATACGGCGACCTGTTCCGAAATGCTTCGACTTATGTTCTGAAACGTGTGGATGTTTGTTCAGGTACCATGTTCCGAGGTCCTGGTTGAAATCAACCCAGAATTTATTGGTGGTTTTCGAAGAAATCGGGGGAGATGCATCGAAGATGTCGCTAGTAAAACGATTGGTGACAAATAAAGGAATATAACTGTACTCGATTGGAAAAAGATAAATATTTGAATGGCATTCAAATAATTTCGAAAATTCATTTAAATAGAAAAACATAGAATGCTTACTAGAGTGATGTTTCTATCATTAACAAGCATATTAACTTTCTTCACAGAACTATACATATACAGTCAGGCATGGAAGAATATCTACATGGCTTCTCGAATTCTATATACCAACAAGAGTACACACATAAATGAATTGTAACGGAAATTAGGGCGAGACCAGAAAAACAAAGAAAAAGATCGAAAATTTTGGGGTTTTTTTTTTATTTTTTTCCTTTTAGGAAAAAATGGAGAACAGCATATTTTGCTCATTGAGAAGCAGAAGACTCATCAGCAGGATGCCAGAATCTGTTGAAAAACCACATTGTATCGGCTTCGACAGGGTTTCCGTCATGGTTGCGGTGCCAACTATAATAAGCATGAGTCCGGTTCTTGATATCGAGAACAGCATGACCGTAACTGGATTCTCGATACGCTGAGTGCGCCGGTTGTGGCTCAATCATGCTACAAATACGGGGAAAAAATGAAGACATTGACAACTGCAAAGTTGAAACAATCATGGAAGAAACAGGAAAACCAGCATATATATGATAAAAGAAAAATCTGTACTTTGATGCTAAGCCATCCACGTTCCCTCCATCACCGACTGTTATGTACACAGGTGCCGATCTATCCTTCACGGTAGTGTAAATACCGTTTACGACATTTGATGCAATGTCTGATACGCGTTCCTGTAATGGTACATAAATCAGTAATCAACCAACTTCAGAGCAAACTCGTTCCACGAACATTGATTAGTACATGATAAAAACACTTTGAGTCGTTATTTAAATCATTGTACTCAAATATAGTAGATACTAGCACCAACAAAGAGCTTACAGATCGTTCATAGGCATGGACATGACCGGAAAATACAATATCAACTTTATACTTCACAAAACTGGGCTCATATACTACTCTCATGGTTTCTCCTTCCATGAAAGGGTAGTTGAAGCTATTATACCATGGGGCATGCATAAGAACGATTAACCACGGTGTTTCTCTCCTGTTAACTTTTGGTAGCTCCTGTTGAAGCCATTGGTACTGAGGAGTGAATCTACCTGCCGGAAAATTGCAGATCAGATGAATCCAACAAGCATATCTGCTAGTGCTATACCATTCGAGTCCACAATTATGAAAATTATATATATATATATATATTATTTACCATAGGCCCGAGTATGAAGACAAGACTATGATGTATGCTGAAGCTCTCTTGATCGAGTACCAGAAGGGAGTAGTACTTTTTGATGCTAGATAAGGAACTGGATAACGATGTGTGTAAGGCTTGAAAGGCTCCGTTTCTCCCTGCAGCAGAACAATAATCATGTTATTATCGACTCACTCTTCCATGATTTTTGAAAGTTCGATGATAAAACAGTAGAAAATAACGACAAAGCATGACTCCGTAGAAAGTAAGATCATTGTGTTTACAAGCTAATCACGTCAAGAAACAATGAATGCTTACAAGTTCGGGGGCGAAGTCAATTTCATGGTTTCCAGCAGTCCATATCCACGGTTGATATGCAACACTTCTCTCGATAAGCCTTCCCCATGTATCCCATCTTACATTATCATGATTTGGATATATATCTGCATACGAAAGATCTCCGACATACAATACTGTCTGACCTTTCCTTGGGTTTTGTTCATAGTGAGTAATTGTGCTATTTGAATCAAAAGTCTGCCCGAGATCCCCTGTATAATTATTTCCAATTCTAACACATCAGGCACATAAGCAATAGACGTTGCACAAAACATCCACATATAGAGCAGAAAAACCAGAGCAACACAAACAAGAGAACCCCAGAACCATTTCATTTTCTTGAGGATCAAGTAATAGAATACGGGGTTGAAAATATAATCAAACATGTAATCAACAGTAAAGGATGTTATCTTTCCTTTCTAATTATAGCTCGAAACTAAAATCAGTGACCTCTCGAACCAGGAGAGATTATACAGACTGTGGACTAATTGCAGCAATATCTTAATCAAATCAAAATAGTAAGCATGCATTCGCTTAATCACTTACCAATGATACCAAATGTGTATGGAGCATCGGGACTTACTGGAGGAGGAGTTGTAAACCAGAATTTTCGGTTCGAATCACTGTCACCGATCTCATAGTAATATTTGGTATTGTACTGTAAACAAACAAATAATGAGACTCAGAGTTGAAATCCAAGTATCATAATCTTAGTCCATACTTTTATCCAGAGGCAAACACTACAGATTATATAGCCTTACAAGCAAAAACCAGGATAACCCTAAAGTTATGAATGCTGCTGAAAAATCAACACAACCTTTAAGGTTTTATCCCCGGATCTAAAGAGAGCCTAAGGTGCCTCTTAGGTCGCTGACGAACAAATCCGTGCCGATGAAGAGCAATGCGTCTTCAGAGCCGAGGATAAAACCTTTGATGGTGCACCAGTTCTTCAACGACATCCAATGAGGACAATTCATAACTTATGTCGACGGATTGTAATGAAAGAGGAAGGAAAAATTGATGGTACATAGAATTCAACATTACCTCCAAATTTCTAATGATGCAATGATGAATGTAACCAGAGGTGTACTTGTGGAACTTATAAGTCTTGACTTCCCCCTCAGTTTTTCTCTTTTCATTGCTGTTCTCTTTCCAGAAAACCACTGTATTTGAACCGGGTTCATCCTGGGTCACCCATGAAACAATCACAGCTTTACCCACATGGTCACCTTGTGTTATGTGCACCTTGAAAAATCCATAACCCCCGCATTACAAACATCCAAGTAAAGTCAAATTTAGATAATACAAAACAACCAAATTTAATCCTTTACTTTTAATCTCATGAATTTGATTTCTCTATTCTTCTGATCTACTAACAGAATTTCAATTCATAACATCGTCAAACGAATTCCATCAAATTGAATTTGATATTATTATCAAACAAATCAAAATCAAATCAAATTTCAAATATACTAAGAGTATTCCATTGGGAGCACAGTGAAACGTATAAACAAAATGTAATAACTACCCACTAACACTGACCTGTTGGGGTGCATTGTGACCGGAGGGAACCCGGAAGACATCACTGTGAAGAGGCATGTCACCGGTTTTCTCCGGTTTCCTGGCGTAGATGCTGGTCTTCCCGCCATTACACAAATCCGCAGAGCTCAAAACCAAAGCTACGAAAACAATGGCAACGACACACGGTGGCGAAGAAGAAAACAAAGATTTCGTCGACGTCACCCTCATCGCCACCATTTTTAATGTTATACATAATCATGGGCTTCTCTGTTGTTTATATATCTGTATTTATATATCATTATTATGAGTTTCAATTTGAAATATATATATATATATATATATATCAATATTCAGTTATTTTCAATAAGAAAACGGGAGAATTTCAGTCAATATTCTAATTAAAGAATTTATGTCAAAATTAGGTATCAACAATCTCAAACCAATAATAAGATAAACAATAAATAAATATTTAACTAAATAATGACCAAAATAAAGAAATTCCAACGATTCTAATGTTAAATATCACTATTAGTCTTTATATTAAGAGTTAGAAGCTTAATTTTTGCAATTTAATTTGATTATTTTTAATCTAGGTTATTAGATTTTATAATTTTTAATGTGTTCTTAAAGAATTAAATTATCAATTTTTGTAAAGGAGTGTAATTTCATCTTAGGGGCATGTATAGACACTATATAATATAATTATACGTAACCATGGTAATTATACTAAAAAGTGTTTAATTATTTATACATGTTTAAATGACAGTGAAATTCTGAGTTTTATGAACATAGATGAATCGAACATATATGCCAAATTCGAATAGTTTAATAAATGAAACTCAAAAACCTTGAGTAAACATACAAAATTCGAACTTATCTATTCCATCCTATACCCTCCAATGGTACAGATCAAAATCAGGAAATAACTGAAAGGTAAATTGTGGAGTGGGGGTAGGAAAGGGAAAATTTTATTGGTTATATATTTTTCTAAAGTTTCATCGAGAAGACTCATCAACTGGATTCCAGAATCTGTTGAAAAACCACATCGAATCAGCTTCGACGGCATATCCGTCATGGTTACGGTGCCAACTATAATGAGCATGAGTCCGGTTCTTTATGTCGAAAATGGCATGTCCGAAACTGGCTTCTCGATACGCTGAATACTCCGGTTGCGGCTCCGTCATGCTACGATTGCAGGAAAAAAGAGAGATCCACATCAAAGCCTTGCAACAATCATGCATGAAACAAAAGAAAAAGATGTATGATATGATAAAAGAAACAATCTTTACTTGTTTGCTAAGCCTTCAATGTTCCCTCCATCGCCAATAGTTATGTATATAGGTGCAGATTGATCCTTCACGGGACTGCATATACCGTTCACGATATTGTATGCGACGTTTGATATGCGTTCCTGTAATGTACAGGAATCAGAAATCAAGCAATTTTGGAACGATGAGGATGATAAACAATCAGTTTAAAAGCCGTGAGTGAAGTAATAGTAGTGATACGGCTAAAATAAAGGCATTACGGATCGTTCGTAGGCATGGACATGACCAGAGAGTACGATATCAACTTTGTGCTCCACAAACCATGGCTCGTACATTACTCTCATGGTTTCTCCTTCCATGTAATGGTAGCTGTAGCTATTGTACCAAGGGGAATGCATAAGAACAATTAACCACGGTGTTTCGCTCCGGTTAACTTTCGGTAGCTCTTGTTCAAGCCATTGGTTTTGAGGAGTGTATTTACCTGTGGGAAAAAAGATTGCAGATATTTATCTGATGAATCCAGCATACATCTCTGCCATACGAATGGAGTCCGCAAATATGCAAAGAGATTCTTTACCATAGGCAGAATATGAAGACAACACTATGATATAAGTTGAAGCTCGCTTGATCGAATACCAAAATGGAGCAGTGCTTTGTGATGCTCGATATGGAACATGATATCGATGAGTGTAAGGCTTAAAAGGCTTCGTTTCTCCCTGCAGCAGAACCACAATCCTGTGATAACAGATTCACCCTGCCTAGTGATTACAAGTTAATCACGAAATGAAAGAACAAAGGCTTACGATTTCAGGGGCGAAGTCGATTTCGTGATTTCCAGCAGTCCATATCCACGGTTGATATGCAACACTTCTCTCGACAAACCTTGCCCACGTATCCCACCTTACATTATCATGATTCGGATGGTTATCTGCGTATGAAAGATCCCCAACAAACAATACCGCCTGACCGTTCAACGGGTTCTTTTCGTAGTGAGTAAGTGTGAGATTTGAAGCATAAGTCTGCCCAAGGTCCCCTGCATAACCATTTCCGATTCCAAATCATCAGCACGTCCAAACATAAGCCGGTATCTTCTGATCGGCTACAAGAGAATTTATGTGTGCTCCCTCGAATAAGAGTCCTTTTCGAGGGGGGGAAAATCCTTGCGAAGCCGATCAACAGAGTACAGTTCATGCTCAAGACACCAGCACAAATAAAGAAGCGGTAACCATGCCGATCGACAAGTCGGCACGGTCGAAAGCAGTAAGCAAAGATTCACTTACCCATTATACCGAACGTGTAAGGGACATCAGGGCCGACTTCAGGAGGAGTTGTAAACCAGAATTTCCGCATCGAATTACGATCACCAACCACATAGTAATACTTGGTGTCATACTGTTAACAAACAAGAGACTCGGAATCAAAATGCAAGCATACACAAATCGATCCGGTACAATAGTTTTAAAATGCCTTGCACGGCGACACGAGAACGGCATCAACAATATAAAAATATAGTTATTTTTAAGAAACAAATCACACAGTAACATCCCCAGAATCCGCCGCAATTTAGTACTATTAATAGGAACTAAAATTAAAACACGAATCGATGGTTATGTTACCTCCAGATTTCTGATGGTGCAGTGATGAATGTAACCAGAGGTGTAATTGTAGAACTTATACGTATAGACTTTCCCCATAGCCTTCTTCTTCTCTTTGCTGTTCTCACTCCAGTAAACCACTGTATTCGAACGGGGTTCATCCTGGGTCACCCATGAAACAATCACGGCCTTTCCGATATGGTCGCCCTGTGTTATATGAACCTTCAAAAAATCCAAACAAAATCCGCATCACAAAACATCAAAGTACACTCAAATTTTCGCATCGAAACACAGAAGGAAAGAAACCCACACCTGTTGAGGTGCATTGTAGCCGGATGGAGCTTGAAAGACGTCACTGTGAAGGGGCATCTCCACGCTTTTCTCCGCTTTCCTGACATAGATGCTAGTCTTTCCTCCAATACATAGTAACACTGAATTGGAAACTAAAATTGAAATAATAACAATCGAACAGATCGAGGAAGAAGATAATGGATTCATTTTCTGTTTGATATTCAACGTACTTATACTACTGTGAGTCGAAACAGGAAATAAAAACATTATCTTTCTGTTATTTTCTCGGGAAAATACAGGGCGATATTCCAGTATGTATACAAGTAGAGTACGTAGATATGTCAACTCTTTGAAACACATAATTTAAATAAATAAACTAAAGGATAAAATATTGTTGACTTTATGCACCGAAAGTGTGCATAATAAATGCAATTTTTGATGGTGCTTGGAAAAAAAAGGAGTAGCAGCTATTGCTGAATTTTGAAAATTGTAGAACCTTAATTTTAATCATTGTAATTTAGGATATTTACAAATTAGTCCTTAAAGCTTGAACTATAAATAGCCTAGCTCATTTAGCTTCAAAACCATCCCAAAACATTATAGCTTTCTTCCAATACTAGAGAGATTTTAGAGAGTTTCTTGAGAGTTGCTTTCTCCTTTTTATCTAGAGAGAATTATCACTGTTTTCTCCTTGGTAGATCGAGAGAGGTTGTAATTCCTATTTTCTTATAGTGAAATTCTTTTACCGTTGCTCGTGGTTTTTACCCTATATTATTCAGGGGTTTTCCACGTAAATTTTGTGTCTCTTTTATCTTCATTTTTATTTTCTCAAGTTATCAGTTGCGATTTTGCTCTATCCGATAGCCGTCTTCCGCAACAATTGGTATCCGAGTCAGATTTGAGTGTATAATATCTGCTTATTGTCTTTGTGGTTGCCACCAAAAGGTGGATCCTCCAACATAAGAAAATAAGAATGTATTACCCATTCTTTGAGGTTCTAGAGAACTATTCACGATAGTAAAATAGTGGAGCTATCAATAATAGAAGCTATGGCAACAAAATTTGATATTGAAAATTTCAATGGGAGAAATTTCTCACTGTGGAAATTGAAGATGAAGGTCATCCTGAGGAAAGACGAGTGTCTAGCGGCTATCAATGAAAGGCCGATGGATTTCGCAGATGACAACAAATGGAACGAGATGGACATAAATGTTATGACAAACTTTCATCTAGCATTAGCAGATGAGGTATTGTCAAGCATCGAGGAGAAGAAGACAGCTAAGGAGATATGGGATCATCTCACCAAATTGTACGAGGCCACATCGTTGCACAATAAAATTTTCCTTAAGAGGAAATTGTACACTCTTCAGATGTCAGAATCTACTTCAGTGACGGAGCACTTAAACACACTGAACACTTTATTTTCTCAGCTTACATCCTTAAGCTGTAAAATAGTAGAACAAGAACGTGCTGAACTTCTACTTCAAAGTCTACCGGATTCGTATGATCAACTCATTATCAACTTGACAAACAATAATGTCACCAGTCTAGTCTTCGATGACGTTGCAGCTGCTGTTCTACAAGAAGAAAATCGGCGCAAGAACAAGGAAGACAGACAAGTAAATCTGCAACAAGCAGAAGCGTTGACAATGACGAGAGGGAGATCAACAGAACGTGGCCAAAGCAGCAGTCACAAACATGGTAGATCAAAGTCGAGGATCAAGAAGAATTTAAAGTGCTACAACTGTGAAAAGAAGGGTCACTTGAAGAAGGATTGTTGGAGTCTAAATAAAAACTCCATTCCACAAGGCAATACCGCAAACACTTCAGATGATGGAGATGCACTATGTTGTGAGGCGTCAACCACCGTGGAAGGAAGAAAAAGATTTGCAGATATATGGCTCATTGATTCAGGAGCAACATATCACATGATCTCAAGAAGAGAATGGTTCCATCAGTATGAACCTGTCTCAGGAGGATCTGTGTATAGTTGCAATGATCATGCCTTAGAGATCATTGGCGTGGGAACCATCAAATTGAAGATGTATGATGGAACAATTAAAGTTGTTCGAGATGTGCGGCACGTGAAAGGTCTAAAGAAAAATTTATTATCCTACGGATTGTTGGATAATAATGCAAGCAAGATTGAAACACGGAAAGGAATCATGAAGGTGTTCCGTGGAGCGCTTGTGGTGCTGAAAGGCGAAAAGATAGCAGCAAACTTGTACATGCTGAAGGGAGAGACTTTGCTAGAAGTAGAAGCCTCTGTTGCCTCATGTAGTTCAGATTCTGCAATGCTATGGCATCAGAAACTTGGACACATGTCAGAACAAGGAATGAAAGTCCTTGTGGAGCAAAAGCTACTTCCCGGCTTAACAAAGATATCACTTCCTTTGTGTGAGCATTGTATAACAAGTAAGCAGCACCGGTTGAAATTCAACACGTCAAATTCTAGAGGCAAAAATGTTCTAGAATTGGTTCATTCTGACGTATGGCAAGCACTAGTTACATCCCTAGGTGGAGCAAAATACTTTGTCTCATTTATTGATGACTACTCTAGGAGATGTTGGGTGTATCCTATTAAGAAGAAGTCAGATGTGTTTTCAACTTTCAAAATCTTCAAAGCGCGGGTGGAACTTGATTCTAGAAATAAGATCAAGTGTTTCAGAACAAATAATGGAGGAGAATACACAAACGAAGAATTTGATGACTTTTGCAGGAAAGAATGCATCAAAAAGACAGTTCACAGTGGCAAACACTCCTCAACAAAATAGAGTGGCAGAGCGGATGAACAGAACCTTGTTAGAAAGAACAAGAGCAATGTTGAGGGATGCAGGCCTAGAAAAATCATTCTGGGCAGAAACAGTCAATACCGCTTGTTATTTGGTGAATCTAGCTCCATTAACTGCAATAGAGCTGAAGACACCAATGGAGATGTGGACTGGTAAACCTGCTGATTATTCAAACCTCCATATATTTGGAAATATTGTGTACGTGATGTACAACTCCCAAGAAATCTCAAAGCTGGATCCAAAATCCAGGAAATGCAAATTCTTGGGGTATGCTGATGGAGTCAAGGGGTATCGCTTGTGGGATCCCACTGCCCGCAAAGTGATCATCAGCAGGGATGTTATCTTTGTAGAAGATAAGCTACAAAGAAAAGAAGAAGATAGTAGCGCTGAAAAGTCAGAGACTACGCAGATACATGTGGAAAAAGAGTTTGAACAAGGAGATTCTTCTGAAGCAGAACCAACACATGATGAACAAGAACCAAAGAGTTCTGAAGCTCCAACAACTCGTCAATCAGATCGTGTGAGAAGACGTCCCAATTGGCACTCAGATTATGTTATAGAAGGTAATATTGCATACTGCCTTTTAATAGATGACGGTTAGCCATCAACATACCAGGAGACAATAAACAGCTCAGATGCTTCACTGTGGATGATGGCAATGCAAGAAGAAATCGAAGCCCTTCATAAAAATAATACATGGGACATTGTGCCACTACCACAAGGAAGGAAGCCAATTGGTAACAAATGGGTCTTCAAAATCAAGCGAAATGGTAACGATCAAGTTGAGAGGTATCGTGCAAGACTGGTGGTCAAAGGATATGCTCAAAAGGAAGGTATTGATTTCAATGAAATATTTTCTCTTGTGGTTCGACTAACAACAGTTCGAGTAGTTTTAGCAATGTGTGCTACATTGAACTTACATCTAGAGAAACTAGATGTTAAAACAGCTTTTCTTCATGGAAATCTTGAAGAATAGATTTATATGCTCCAGTCTGAAGGTTTTGAAGAAGAAGAAAAGAAGAACTTGGTTTGCAGGTTGAACAAATCTCTGTACGGTCTAAAGCAGGCGCCGAGGTGTTAGTATAAGAGATTTGATTCATTCATTATGTGCCTTGGATACAACAGACTTAATGCAGACCCTTGTGCTTATTTCAAGAGGTCTGGTGATAACGATTTTGTTATATTGCTGTTGTATGTGGATGACATGTTGGTTGCAGGACCCAACAAAGATCATATTGAAGAATTGAAGCACAACTGGATAGAATTTGAAATGAAGGACTTGGGATCAGCAAACAGATTCTAGGGATGCAAATTCACCGAGACATAAGTAATAGGAAGATTTGCCTTTCACAAAAGAATTACTTGAAGAAAATCTTGTCACGATTTAGCATGCAAGATTGTAAGCCAATTTCTACCCCTCTTCCTATTAGCTTCAAATTATCCTCCAGTATGAGTCCTAGCAGTGAAGAAGAGAGGATGGATGTCTCGAGTACCGTATGCATCAGCAGTGGAAGTTTAATGTTCGCTATGATATGCACAAGACCAGACATTGCACAAGTAGTGGGAGTGTTTAGTCGGTACATGGCTAGTCGGTACATGGCGAATCCAGGCAAAGAGCATTGGAATATTGTAAAGAGGATCCTAAGATACATCAAAGGGACCTCAAATGTTGCATTAAGTTACGGAGGATCAAACTTACTTATAAATGGGTATGTCGATTCTTACTATGCAGGGGATTTGGATAAAAGTAAATCTACTACAGGATATGTGTTCAAAGTTCATGGTGGAGCTGTAAGCTGGGTTTCAAAAATTGCAGTCAGTTGTGGCTACATCCACAACAGAGGCAGAATATGTAGCAGCTACACAACCAGTAAAGAAGTAATTGGTTGAAGATGCTATTGGAGGAGCTTGGGCACAATCAAGAGTTTGTGTCTGTTTTGACAGTCAAAGCGCCTTGCATCTAGCAAGGAATCCAGCATTTCATTCAAGGACAAAACATACGAGTTCAATACCATTCATTCGTGAAAATGTGGAAGAAGGACGGTAGATATGCAGAAGATCCATACCAAAGACAACATAGCAGATTCATGAAGAAGGCGATCAATACCGATAAATTTACTTGGTCGATCCTCTTGTGGCCTGTCAGAGACGTAAGCAACATGATGGTACAAGGTAGAAAGAATGGTGTGAAGATATGATTGTTTCAATCAAATCTTCAAGTGGAGATTGTTGACTATGCACCGAAAGTGTGCATAATAAATGCAACTTTCGGTGCTGCTTGGAAAAAAAAGGGCAGCAGCTATTGCTCAATTTTGGAAATGGTAGAACCTCAATTTTAGCCATTATAATTTAGGATATTTACAAATTAGTCCTTAAAGCTTCAACTATAAATACCCTAGCTCATTTAGCTTCAAAACATCCAAAGC